TAAAGTTGATGCTGAATGTAATCTTCCTGTATTTTTATCTGTATGTTTAGTTATTTTAAATAATATCTCTGGTCGTAATGTATAAAAATCATCTGGATGTATTGGTCGACCAAGAGTAGCAATAGCTGCATCAAAATGTGGTTGATCAAGTGAATTTTGTTTATCACGTAATTGTTGCATTAAAGCTGTTTGAGCTGCAATTAATAATGGACTTGTTAAATCAGAAAAATAATGACTTAAAACAAAAAGAATCTTATAGAAACAAAAAAAAACCTAGCGAGGAAAGTCTTTCAACTGTTCAATTGCTTTTGTATTGAGACTTCGTGCATTATATAGATACAAATGAGCTATAAATATCATGAAAAGAGTTCTTGTCTTTAACTTTTCACTATGGAAATACTGCATGTTTATAATATTTTTAAATCAATGTAGTGCTAACAGAAAAACTGATTTTTGAATTTCGACTTGAAACTTTGTATAGAGACAGGTCTTAACGAGAATATTTTGTTTTTGTAAATGTTTCAGATCTTGCCATTGTTCCTATCTTAAGATACAACTATAGTAATAGCATGTCTTTTATATCACACAAATAAACTAGCAAATTTGATGTTCTTGTTTCAGGATAGAAGCAAATCAAAAGATTTGAAATTACTCTCATTAAGACCTGTCTCTATGCAAAGTTTCAAGTTGCAATTCGAAAATCAATTTTTCTGTTACTACAGCATTCATTTACAAACTACCATAAAAGGACACTATCTTTGGAGCAATAAGCTAAGGACAAGAATTAACTCTTTTCAGGATATTCACAACTCATTTGGATTTACATAATGTACATAGTCTCAATTCAAAAAACGATTGAACAGTTGGAGAACTTTCTTCATAAGACTATTTGATTAATCATACTCGGATAAAGCATTAAATTTAATTGCTATTGTTCCTAATTTTTCCCATTTAGCAGCTACATATAATGCATGTAATGTACGTAAAATAAATTTTCTTATAAATCTTAAATCAATTAATACAGTTCGATCTTGTGGTTGTTCAAAATTAAATGTTGTACTTGTCCATGAACATTCAATATTAGTAAACCATTGATTTAATTTATTTGTATTTGTATTTATTAATTTATCATTATTATTATCATAAAATGGTTTTGTACGATAGAGCATATCAAGTAATAATTCACTTGCTATAAACATTGTTTGATAACCATGTGAAAGTAATGCATTTAATGAAAATATTTTATTTAATGTTGTTGTAGATAAATATTGTATAAGTTGTTCTATTGAATCATAAAATGATTTTGAAGTATTTTGTAATAATGTCCAATTATTTGAACGATATGCGAATACAATTGAACGACGATAATGTAAATAAAAACGATCAATATATGCACGAATGCGTTTAAATCCATATGGATCAGTAATATTAAAATCAGTTTTTTGACGATATAAATCACTAACTTCACGACGTGGTGAAAGTGATGTTGATAATTTTTTCGATGGAGATGGACGATTAGGAGAACCTTGTTTACGATCACGACCTGAAATTATTTCATCACCTTTTTGACTTAAATAAATCGTTGGATCTGATATTTGTCCTAAATAAACATGAAAAAATCTTAATAAAATTGTTTTTTTCGTTGTATAATATTCATACAGATAAAAACAGCGATTTCTTTTTTTCAAAGCTCTAGAATTGAATACCAATTCCACTCTGTTAATCGAATTAGTACGTTTTCTGCACAATGTGAAAATTACAAACAAAATTTAGCAAATATTCCGATATTTGCTTAAAACAACAGGGCATTTAACAAAAGCCCTACATTTCCTAAATTTCTAGAGAGTGACTCATTAGAAAATTTCGAAATTTTCAAGGTAAATAAATCTTAATGAGGACACCAAAAATCATCATAGAGTCAAAGTTCTCGAATATTGGCTTCTATGAGATGTTCGGATCACAATGACTTACTATTCGCCTCTCGCTTCCTTTTCTCCAAGATACTACGTTCGACCGAGTTGAAAATTTCTTTATAGAAGCTAAATACTATTTGAAGTGGCTAATATTTTTCTTTTTTGATTTCCTTATATTCTTTGAATTAAAAAATCCAAAATATCGGATACACAATTAAAAATGCTTGTTCTTTGACGAAGACAGATTTTGTAAAGGCTGCGGAAAATCGCTAGAGCAATATTTTTTGAAATTACAAAAAAAAATATGCAGGCGAAATCATGTTTAGTATATGTGAAAAAAGTTTCAACTCGACAAGTTTGACTATAGCGGCGAAATGGGAGTGAAACAATACTTTCTTTTTTGTAGGAAACTTGATTTTGAGGAAAATGCAAAACGAAATTGAGCTTCCATTGTATTGTACATACTCATCATTTTTCTTTTACAGGTTTTTGACAACTGTACATTCGATAAAGTTGTTCTCAGGTTCGGAAAGTACTTTCTTTAATATATGCGAAATGCCTGAATTCAGTGAAAAATCACATATTGATAGAAGTTCATCTCCTGTTTTCTCTTCTCTCTTGAATAGAGAGAGAAAAAATGGGTGAAAAACTGTCAACAGATGTGTAAATGTGAGGTCAAAACATTGCCAAAAGAATTTCTATTATTTCACAGATCATTAAAAGACACTACAAAGAATATACATCACTGAAAAACTAACGGATAACTTTCTTTCTCATAGTCTCGGTCTCAGTAGATGAGAACAAAGTTACACTTGCACATTTCTATTCGTAGTCTTAAGAAATAAAAATAAAAATATGTAATGAAAAAATTTTTTTACCAATAACTAAATCATTAATTATTTCTATACGATCTTTAACATCTGATTGTGTAAAATTAAATTCAAATTTTCGTTCTAATGTTGGATCATCAAGTACTTCATCATCTGTTACATTTCGAATAATAAGATTTGTTTGATCATATGTAAATAAATTCGGATTAATACGATCAAATCTGTAACATCCATCTTCTAATAAAACTTGAAGTTTTTCATTAGATTCTTTAATTACTGATGATACATGATCAAGACAATAAAGTCCATTAAGTAATTCATATTGTGCACGCCATACCAATTCATCATTAATAAATCGACGAAATTTTTTTCTTGCTTGTTTTTGATGATAAAGATCAGGCAATAAATTGAATAATTTATCAATAGCCTATTAAAATTAAAATTAAATTAAAAAATAAACAAAACCTTGACTTTAAAATCTGTTCCTGACATTCATGGACGTTTTTTTTCTCTCTCCATCAATAGGGCTTAACCATGATATACATCGAGATTCATGACAAGCGCCTCCTTCTTTTCTTCTTTTCTTTTTTTTATTTCGTTTTATCTCTAGATTATAAATACATGTGAATACAAAGACATCAAATACATTACAATTTAACAATGAATATTATCTATTATTTTCTATCAATAATTATTCTCAATATTCATCTTATTGAATCAAATAATAATACAAATAATAGTATTCGTATACAAATATTTGATAATATAGCTGAAATATCTCGACCAATATCTGGATTTGATTTACCTATAACATATACTCAACAAGAATGGCATGATATACGATCAGATTCATTTCGTTTGATTGGTGATTATGTTAAAATTCAAGGACAAATTATTTCTTATAATCGTACTTCTTTAAATGGTCAAAAAATATTTATTCAACGTAGTTTAAAAAATGATACATATACAGAAGCAATAATGATTGATGAAACACGAAATTTAATACATGATTTAATTGATAATACATATTATACAATAACACCTGATCGTATAAGATATTTATCAATGCCACCTGTACGAAATTATTATGTTGATTTTATATTTCATACAAGTCATGTTGAACAACTTTATTTACGTTATTTACAAAATAATATTAAATGGAAAGTTCGTTATGATCTTTTATTAGAATTTAATAATAGTGATTCTATTTTACAAGCTTATGCTGATATACGAAATGATGGAAGTTCATCATTAATAATTGATTCAGCTGAATTAATTAGTGGTGATGTTAATATTAAATCTACTTCTTCATCATCACCATCACCATATTACGATAATAATCTTGCTTTTGCTGGTTACGATGGTACCGGAGGTGCTACTAGTACTCAACAAGCAATGTATGCAACAAATCCTACACCGACAATTTCTTCAAGCGAGGAATTAGCTGGTATATATGTATTTTCAATAAATGAAACATTTATTCTTGATCCTCAATCAAATTTTATTCTTCCAATGTTTCGTCCAATAATTGATATTGAACGTTATGGTTTAATAGAAAAATATTTTCAATCTATGAATAATCGTGGTAATGCACAACGTGCTTATCGTTTACGTGTACCAGACATATATTTACCAAAAGGACAAGTATTTGTACGTGAATCAGATCGTTTAGTTGGTGAAACTTATTGGGTGGATCATTCAGCTAATGAAACAAATGAATTTAATTTAGGTAAAGATCCTGATTTACAATATATTGAATATGTAAAATTAAATTCTCGTCGAGAAACTTCTGAAGCCACTGGTTATCGTTTAACATTATCAACATATACCATTAATTTACATTTAATTAATAATAAAAAACGTTCAATAAATTTTGAATATCGTTTAAAATTTTCTTCACAAGATAATTTAACATTAATAGAAAATACAACTAATGATATATTACAACTTGATGGTTCAACTATCAGTGGTATATTTCAATTAAATGAAAATTATGAACAAGAAATTCAATTTACATTTGAAACACAATAAATATATCGGCTGTTTTACATTCAATTAACAATTGAGTTCATGACTTAACTGATACTTTTTTTTTAATCCTCTTTATCAATATTTAATTACTAATATTTTTTTTTTATTACTAATCTTATTAATTTCATTTATCTTCAAAAATTCATTATCAATAAAAATGAAAAATATTGAAACGATCAATGATGAAAAAAAAAGAAAAGATTACGTTTAAATGTAAAGGTTAATCCTATGTGTAGTAACTCATGAAAATATTAGTAATACTTACGGGTTTTTGACGTTGTTCGAGTTCGATACGAACTGTATCTGGTGTATTAGGTGGAATAAGAAAATAATATTTAGCTGGTCTTGCTCGTAACAATTTTTTTGTTACATTTGCTTGTTTCTTTTTTCCACCTTGTTTTTTCTTTCGTTCTGGACTAAATTCTGTTACTGCAGCAGCTAAAAAAAAAACATGAATAATAATTTTTTTAATTTTTTATTATTGAAAATATATTCTTTTTTTTCTTTACCATATTTATTTTCATTACTACCAGTAATTGCTATAATACCATCTCCTTTACTAATTATCATACGCCATGGTCCAAGAATAAGTTCATTTCGTTTGGATATAAATGTTTGATTTTCATCATACCAATTAAGAATATCATCATTAGATGAATCAATTAAAGATTTTACTAAAACTTGTGCAAGATATTCCATATAGGATGGACGTTTACGAAACTTTTGAACTAGAAACATATAAATATATCATACTTTTATCATAGTTATATCTCAGGATAGAAGTAAGCAAAAGATTTAAAATTTTTACAATAAACTATTCTTATTAAGGCATGTCACTATGCAACGTTTCAAGTCGAAATTTGAAACTCAACTTTTTTAGTGTGGCTGAGAGAGACCACAGCATTCTGCTAGTTAAAATACAGTCTCAACAGTAATAAGATATTAGCACGAATTCTTTTCAGGATATTCATTGTTCATTGGAACCTATATGATACAAATAGTCCCAATTCAAAAACAATTTGATACTTAGAAATGTTCCTTCGTTAATAATTTCTATTTATGAATTTTTATTTCAATTGCATACCTTCTTTATAACTTTGTCGAGCTGATGTTGCATTAATAAAAGTATAGACAGCAGTTGGATCTTCATTTCCAGTAAGAATTGTATGTGGAGTACGTTCTCTTGCTACGAAACGTTCTAATGCTTTAAGTTCTTCATTATGAATTGTTGAAGAATGAGCTTTTGGTATTAATTGTTCAGCAATATCATCAGATAATGTAATTTGTCCTTGTGCACCTGATGTTGCAAGTTGTTCAGGTGTATTTGTATCTGTTGTTGGCATCGATGATAAAAATTTTTTTCCTATTTGATTAATTAAATTTGATAATTTAATTTCATCATTTTGTTGTAAATATTGACTCATATAATATGATATACATGCAATCATATGATGAATATTATCTTGTATAATACGTGTACGTTGTTTTGTTATTTGTTGAGAAATTTCTTCAAATACAGATAAACATTTTTCAAATATTTGATTTACAGATGAATAAAAAATTTTATAAAATATTAATGGTGTTAATAAACCATATAGATAAATAATTGATTGTAATGCATAATATGAATCATTAAGCCAACATGAAAGTTCTAATGCAATTAATATTTGACTACATACATGAATACGTTTTATCTATACATACAGAAAAAAAACATAATAAATAAATAAATTTGAAAGAAATATACTTGATTGACACGATTAGATGATGTTGGTGTTATCATATCACAATAAAAATGATTTTCTTTTATAAATATTTCAAGATTAATAAATATTGAATTAATGAATTTTTGTAATAATGATATTGAACTTTCAGCAATACGTGAATATCGTAATCTAAACAAAAATATATCATGAATATTTTGTAAAACAAAAAAATAATGAAAATACAGTGCAAAAGCTATTTTATGAGCTTCTTCAACAAGGAATTTTTCAATCTAGAAAATTTTCTACTTCGTTTTAGAATTGTTGTAAATCGAAAAGATATCATCTTACGAATGTTGGAACCGCCAGAAGTAATGTAATACTTTTGAAAATTGTTGCAAATCTATAGCAAAAATATCTATGGGTTTGAATCGTTTTTTGGAATTATTTTAGTCTCAACATCTTCTCTAAATGTATAAAATATGAAAAAGATGGAAGACACTTTTAGCAAACTGCACATCACTACAAACAAACATATGTGTTTCTACTATATGTGACATATGAACTAGTTTCAGACTCCGTTTGATGAATTTTCAGAATTTTATAGAATTATTTGATGGAAAATAATCATACTTTCACACATCAATGAAAAACTTTCGACTTCCTATTGAATAAACTCATAAAATAACTCTTGCATCGTGTATTCATTATTTTGTTTCAAAACAATAAAAAAAAAACATCAGACGATTCTGTTATTTATGAATCGTTCATTTAGATTATTTTCTTTTTTTGATTACTCGTAAATAACCAATGGATTTTCCACAGTTAATTCTCGTATTGAACTTTCAATAACCATTGGTGTTCGTACAAAATATGTCCAAAGTGAATGAAAAGCTTTTTTCGCAACTGTATATTGTTTTATTTCATGGGAAACCTATAATGATATACGATATGAAATAGATACAAAAAGAAAAAGAATAAAAAACAAACTTGTGAAAGAAGACATCGAATAAATAATAATGATATTGGATGTGCAGCTAATATAGGTTCTGTTGATTCACTAACACTTTCACCAATTAATTGTCCATTAATATCATATATTGCTAATGAAAAAACATATTTAAGATCAGGATCAAGTCCAGAAATTTTCAATGGTTTAATAAAACTTGCTGGAATCTAAAACAAAGAATTTTAATATCATATAAAAAAAGAAAACATATCAAAAAAAAAATAAACAAACTTGTTGACCACTGCCAGGATAATTTGTATCAGCCATACGAGCTTTTGCATTCGGACGATCAGATGCTCGACAAAAAATACGATATGTAGCAACCTGAAAATAAAACAAAAATATAATTTTCAAAAAAAAAGAAAATATATAAGTTATACTTTGCTTGATAATGAACCAAAATCTGGTGCCATAACAAAAACAAAATCAGGTCCTCGAGCAACAATACATGGACGAGGAACATTTGTTGTTGTTGTTGTTTCAGATTTTTTATTTTGATGATGCCAAAAATAAAGACGATCTTCTTCTTCAGCTGATAATAAATGTTTATAAGCTTTCTAAAACAAAACAAAAAAAAGACAATAATTATAAATCATCAATTTTCAAATTGACCTGCATATATTCTGAAGCTATAGTTTCATCATGTCTAGTACTTGCATATGCTGCACATAATAATGCTTTTTTATGTGAATTACCACGAGCATCATTTAAATATTGATCAATTGGACCTTTTTTTAATGCTCCTAAATTTAGGATTTTGTTTTTTGAATGAAATTTATATATTTAAACAAAAAAGAAATAACTTGCTTGCTTCGGATAGTTGTTCAAGTAATGCAACAACACGACAATAAACAAAATGTAATTCAGCATCAAGATCTTTAACAAGATTATCAATTAATTTGCTTGTATGACCTTTTTCAGCTAGAAATGGTTGTGTAGCAATAAAACGTGTTTGACTATATGTATCCAATTCATCATCATTATCATTAGTTTTTGCTGACTGAATTATGAAAAACAAAAAGATTTTAATTAAAAATTTAATTTGGCAAAAGAATTTTATTACCCAATTACGATCAAACATAGATGAACCATCAAAACGAATAAGATTTGATCGTGCTTGTGCTACTATTTTTAATGATCGTGCTAAAAATTGTTCAGCAAAGAAAACTAATGGAAAATAACGAGATGATCCTAATGTATTATTATCAAGTGATGAATGAATATTAGCATTATGAGATTGTTGTTTGATATGTTTTGTTTCTTTTGTTGTAACAGCATCGAGTGCCGCTTGTTGTCGTTTAAATTCTTCCATATAACTTTGTAATAATGGTTTAGCAGAATTATTTATTAAAAAATCTCGTAATTGATCTAAACGTTGTTTGTAACAAGCGGTACGAATTGTTACTGAAATAATAATGAAATGAAGATTTATTAGAACGAAAAGAAATTGATTGATTTTATTACCTTCAACTGATGGACTAGGTTGAATAAGAGTAAATAATATTTGACCAAGACGAAGTGAACATTCAGCATAAGCACATGAATCAACATTAGCAAAATTAAAACGAGACATAATTTCATGTGTTTGAAAACATAAATGAATCCACTAAAAAAAAATGAAACACGATTAGAAATTATAAGTTTTTGTCGGAGCTATATATTAACAATGTCATTTTAAAGAACGCAAAATTCGGGAAAAATTGTGGAATTGCCGCATTAAAAGTATCACAAAAAACAAAGGCGTTTTTTAGTCAATTTTTGATAATTTTCGAATACTTTTACGTATTTAAAGGAACTTCGTAGAAAATGCGGTGATCCCACATTTTGTTCAGAAATCTGTGCTCTTTGAAATGGCATTCATGAAAAATAGCTACGACAAAGTCTTCTGGAACTTGAAAACTACCATCTTCGGTTTTTGAGAAACCTTGCCATCATAGTTCATTTATGAAATCTTATTATGGAATATATTAGATAGAAAACTTTGTTGGGTATTAAAATCATTATCTGCATTTGGACTAGATGGTTAATATGATACGAAAGAAATCAAATATACATTATTATTAAAATTTTTTCCAGCATCTTATGATTTGATATAAAATAGCTCATTACGATAATTGAGTTATAGTTTGCTCATGTTCATACAAGGCTTCGGATTAGGAGTTTCTATCTCAGTTAATAGAGACAAATCTAGTGAAACCCAAGCTTATAAAAACCAAATCTTCTCTTTTTTTTTTTAGCTTTGTTCTCTATCGATGCTTGTTGAACTCCTCGAATTAAAGTGAATTTTATTAGCGCATAATAAATCCATCTAATGCTTTCGATTTTCGAAGAAGTAAATTCTTACTTTAATATGATCATGATCAAGTCGTGTTAACCAACGTTGATTATCATTTGGTTCATTATAAAGTTTTCTTAACATCGGTCGACATTTGTTCCATAATAATAAACTAACATCAATCAAAATATCTGGTTGAATTTTTTCTTGCTTTTAGTACATAAACAAAAAAAAAGAGTAATTTAGAAAAAAAGAATATAAGAAGATATATACAATGCGAGAATCTGTTAATAACAAAAAACATAAATCTTCAAGTAGTTCTTCTACAGAACGTTCTTCATCATCTTCATTAATTGGTTGATCAATTTGAACTTTAACTTCTTTAATAGGTACAATACGTGTTGCTTTAGCAGCATCAATTAAATCTTTAACACCTTTTGTTTTTTTCAATTTTCCTTTTCCATTATCCGGACTTCTTTTACGTGTTCCTGTATCTTTTCCTTTTCCTGGACTTTTACTACGTTGTTTTTGTTTCTTCTTATCAGTATCTTTTCCACCTTTAGTAGTTGATAAATTTTTAACATTTTGTATTGGTTTACGTTCTTTTTCACATTGTTCAATTTCATAAAGAATTTGTAATAAAGCAAGTAATGACATTTGATTACCATCACTACCATCAACAAGTTCACTAATAGGTTCCATTAATGATTCAAATATATCATAAACTTGATAATTAAATGCTAATTTAAGTAATTGAAGAACATATGATAACGGTATAACATATTGACCTAAAAAAGACAAAAAAAAAACGAAAAAGTTCAAATTAATTTTTTGTTTTAAAACTCACCGTTAACAGCCAAATCAATTAAACTAACATCTTGTTTTAATGTTATATTTGGATATGTACTATTTTGATTTGCTCCAGCTATTTGATCAACATTTGCATGTTTAACTAAAATTAGTAGAAGAAAAGTAATTGATTTGTATTTAAGATACTCACAACAGTTATGTACTAAACTGTGAATATCAAGTTTTACAACTTCTTATTATCTCTAATTTTAAGTTAATTTCTTTTTTGTATACGGTACGATATAAAAACTCGCTTGTTGTTGGATTTAATTGCTACTCAAATCTATGACGAATTGGTGGCTACTTATGGTCAAGATTATGTATCGTATTGTACAATTGCCCGCTGGTTTCATAATTTTACAAGTAAATGAAAATCGCTAGAATACAATCTGTGCAGCGCCCGTCCAATAACCACTGTTATTCAAGAAAACATTGACTCTGTGGAAGATCTTGTGAATGAAAATTCACATATTAGTATTGATCTAATAGTCGACACTTTGGATATATCTCACGATAGTGTGTAAAGCATTCTAAAACAACATCTATGGCTAACAAAGATATCGTCAAGATGAGTATCTCATGAACTGATACAAGAATAACGACAGCGATGTGTGAACATTTACACCAAGAACTTAGAAAAGTTTGAAAGTGGTTCATGGCAACTATGTGATATTATCACTGACAATGAGACTTGGATCGATCATCGGAAAATTGAGTCAAAACGACTATCAAAAAATGTAGGCAGCAGACTGAAGTATCTATTACCGTGCTGAATGTTCAAAACCATTGCTCAGGAAATCATTGAAAAAAAGATCGCAATCAGGAACAAACGGTATCAAATTTTATTATGACAATGCCAGGCTTCATGTGAAAGATATTGTAATCAATTATCTTTAAGAACAAAAAAAATTAAAGTTATGGCTCATTCTTCAGACTTTTGGTTGCTCGGCTATCTTAAAAATAGAATTAATATCTATTCGGATGAAGCAAGTTTTTGACGAAGGCAATAATTAAGAAACTCAACTCGACGCCTGCCAACGAATACAGAAAAGATCTTGCAGTAGTGGACTGAAAAGATGAAACTTTATATTTAACATCACGGCGACTATTTACTTCGAATATTTGCGCTAAAGAAACAAATAAAATGTCTTTTCCTTGAATAAACTTGTCGAAGTTACAAAATTTTTTGCTTGGCCTAAGTATATAATGTTCTTTTATTTTCTTTACCTTGTAAAATATATTGAGCAGCATAAAATAATTCAGTTGTAACATCAAGTATTTCAATTTCTTGTTCACTTGCTGCTGGACTACTTAATATTAAACGTCGATTACTATCGGATAATGCTTGAAGTATAGCTAAAAATTGTGCACAACGACAATCAAACATATCACTAAGTAATTTTTCTGTTAATGTTCTTGGCCATGGACCACTAAGTTCTCTATAATTTTGACGAAATTTTGGTCGTAATACACTTTTTGCTTTTCGACGATTTTCAAATACCATACGTTTGAATATCATTGTAGCTATTTTAATTGTTGCATGACGAAAAGAATTTTCTTGTTGACATTTATCACCTTCAATACTAATAGCTTGTAATTCATGTAAATTTTTAAATTGTTCTAATCCACGTCGAGCAAAATTCTTAATGAAAAATAAAAGAAATTTAATAATTATTTGATAAGAAATATTTAATAAAATATTTAAGAAGAAATGATACAAAAAAAATCAAGATTATATATTATTTCGATGTTCGAATAGATCTAAATTAACATGATTTTAATAATAAAGAGGCTGTATGTTAAACTTGACACACATTTTGACTATCATGGGCAGTGTTTTATTCAGTATAAGAGCCAATTGAGCGGCAGATATTTGTCCATCATGAAGAAAAAAAACACGGCTCATGAGTTGTCAGATTTGCACCTTCGACTTGAAAAATATGCTCTGTTCAGAAACAGTAGGAAGCAGTTTTCGTTTGTTTTTGTGATCGTACAACTCAGAACTCTCGAAGGAGCTTCCATTGTAGCCAATTACTTTGTTTTTTATTTGAAAGAGCATGTGAAGCTGCAAAAGTTTAACGGAGCCCACTTTTGGAATTAAACTTTTTAATATCAAAATGCATTTGAATAAATAGATGACCATTTTTCGAGATATTGAATTTGTCATGCTTTTTCTTCGCATAATAAGTAAGAATTTCAAAAATAAGACAATGCAGACTGACATGCTCTTTCAAAATGAAAAAATCAAATATATAGAACGAGGACCTACAAAGAATTTCGGGTTATTAAATGAGCTTCTTCTGATCCTTGCTTGATGAATATCTCTCGAAAGCATCATGATATATGATTAAAAATTTTAGCATAGTTTTTCCACTACAATCCGAACATATCCTAATAATTTCATATCATCTGAATGTAACTGAGCCAAGATCGATTTTTTGAATGGATCCTAACGATCATCTCAGGTAATGCTATAAAATATTGTTTTATATTTAAATTCAGCTAAATTGTTTTGAGACTTCTATGTATATTTTATATCTTAGTTTGTAAATATTCGGAAAAAGTTGTTTCATCTTACGAATTAATTATTCCGATACTTATATATATATGTATGTCAATAACATAAATGACATTATATGTGTGGCAATAAATTTTAATCCTTTCTAAAATGATGATTTGTTTTATGCAATGTTTAATTTGATAAAATTCTTAATTTTAAAAAACATGATATTGATGATTTCTAAGTAAAATATTTGTATATATACATACTTCTCCAGCAATTGCTTTCTAAAATATGTAGAAAAATTTAAATCATATATATATATGTTTTTCTATTTTATCAAGTAAATTTTCTTACTTCACCATCGGGTGCTATTCGACTATCATAAAATGCTTCACATGCTGCACAATAAAGTGTCGATCGCCATGGTAAATATGAAATAGATAATAATGGTAAACACATTTCTGTACTAACAGCAGCCCATACAAGATATTCTACAACCTTGATAAAATGTAAAAGAAAATATTTAAGTTGAAAAATTAAATATCTTCTCTAAGAAAAAAAAAGATAAGAACCTTTAAAGAATAACCTAATGTCATTAAATAACGACTCATTTTATATAAATAAATTGTTCCATTATAAACAAGCCATGACCATCGATCATCTTTCAATGCTAAATTCATTAATAATCGAATAAATGAAAGTGTTATTAAACATCGATCAAGTGTTTCATCTAATTGTACTTTTGGATCTTGTTCAATAGCCAAATAAAATAAACATAGAGCACAACCCATTAAAGCTCGAAACTGTAAAAAAACAAAAGAAATAATAGGATTTCATAGAAAACGAAGGATTGTTTCTTTTTTTGTTTTGGTGAACATACAGATATATCAGCTGTAACATCAGATAGACCAAGCGGAAAAAATCTTTCTTCAATATCATCTATTGTTTGAAAATCTTCCATATGAAATGAACCAAATTCATTTAAATATCTTTGATAACATTGAAATAATGCTATATTATATTTCTTCAAATTAAAAATAAATAAACAAAAATTTATATTCTATTCTTATTACTAAAAATATCACTCTTCCTTGTTTTTTTCATTTAGCATAACGCAAAACACCAAGCCCTAATTTTGTTTGATCGGACTGAAATTTTTATCACAAATACTTGAAAGTATCCTCAAGAAGTAAAATCCATTTATTTTCATTTTTGACTTTCCTATTCGAATTTATAGGATTCTGATTGTCAATACTCCGGTTTTAATTTCGAATATTTTACATATTTTTGTCATGAAAAAAGAAATTAGATTTTCGAAAACGTTCAAAAAATACAACGTACTTCATATGCAACAAGATATTCACCAAGATGCATTAATTTTTCACAATACATTCGTACAGATAATCTTGGTTGATATTGACTCCATAATTGAAATAATGTTTCTGATCTAAAAATATTTTATTTATATAAAATAAATATTCAAAAACAATAAAAAAAAAAAGATATCATTCTCTACATACAATCGACCATCAATTGATTGATTTGATTTTTGTTGTTTTGCAACATAATTTTTAAAATCCGTTATTTGTGCTTCAAAACTTTGTAAAACAGGATTTTTACTATCATCAACATATGAATAATAAGCTGCTGAATTAATTTTTATTGAACGTTCAACTGCTTTTGTACGTAAACTCGATGCCATCTTGCTTTTTTTTGATAAGAATTATAACAAGATGACAAGAAAAAAAATGTTTCAACAACTAACGAGAAGCCATTCGAAGTGAAAGAAACTAAGAAAAAACCTTTATCCATTGAATGAAATCGATCGTTAGATGTCGCATATTTTTCTTTAATTGTTATATATATATATAAGCTAAATGTCAAGTGTGATTGATTTCTTTCTTTTGCCAGGACGACAAAAAAAAAATATTCCTTGATTGTTTTTCATGGTTGACATAGCTCGTGTCTACTCCCCTGTGGTCGTTTTTCCAAGTAGTGAAGCGCGACCACAATCATCCGATCGTATTCGAAGTGCTTCAGCTAAACGACTATCAAGTCCTAGTACACATCGTACATCACGTATATCATCTGCTGTATCAACTATTGAAAGTGACGGTAGTAGTCGTTCACGATATTATACAAATGACATAAATGATGAAAAAGATTTGAAAACTGAACTTCAAGCTGAACTAACTACTCGTAAAATAGATTTATTTGTTTGTGTGTTCAATAAATAGATGAAAAAGTTTATTTTTAGCATTAACTGGTATTAATCTTCTTGAATTAATTAATAATAAAATTGCTAAACTTGATCGAGCATTAAGATCAGTTGAAGCACCATCGGATGCAAGTAAAAATCAAGCATTAATTACTTCTGAAAAACTTCGAGCTAATGCAATACAAAATGGTTTGATTTCAACTTTCTTTTTTTTTTCTTTTTATTTACAAAAAAAATTTTCATATTTATATTCTTTATTTATTTTAAGGACAATCAAGACAACAAGTACAACAATTTGCGGGTCTTCTTGCTTTTAAATCTACTTTTCAAGATCAAATTACAGCAACAGTTAAACCAAAGGTAAACATATCATCTCTAATCCAAATAAATCTTCAACAATTGTTATATTATAGGCAAGTTCTAATACATTATTAGATCAAGATCAATCAACATTATTAGAAATTTTTCAATACCCTGGCTTTGAAGAACATCGTGTTAGTCCACTACCGTTTAATATTTCTCTAGATAGACAAGTCATGAGACATGTACTTCCTAAACGATATACTCTATCAAAACAGGTGAAGAAAAGATTTATGTATATAAAGTATGTCATTTATTTGAAATTTATAGGCACCATACATTAAATCGTTAATTGAACTCTACTATTCTATGCCAACAAAAGCCTTAATTTTGGTAAGTGTTTTATCAATGAATGAATGAAATAGATTAAAAAAACTTGTCAGTGTGGTTCCGTAATGGATCAAAGTGTAGAACTTACAAACTCTGACTGTTATAAGTTTATGATATATTGTCAGAGGAGGTTAAAATATTTTATTTAACAAAATGTTAAATAAATAAATCAAAACTATAATAATCAAATTTTGTTTGTCATATAAATATATCAGTATCGATTTATATCGTATTATAAGTATTATTTTCTTTTAGGACATATTTTGGTGGATATTTCTTGAACATTATCAAAGTCAACCTAAAATTCAAAAGCAACTACTTCAACGATGTTCAAATAATTATGTTGCTCTTCTTATGATGGAACTCGATTTACGTTATCGTGATAAATGTTTTCAAGTTCTAATCATTATTTTATTCTTTTTCATTTATCTAATTTGACTTTATTAGGTTTATCCATCACTTTTAGCTGAAACTGTCTTTGCATGTTTTAAAGTATGTTTTCCAGCATCAATTAAACAAATGCCTGCCGATGCTGAAGCAGCTGGAAAAACTAATGATGAAAATAAAAATGCACCATTCGAACTTGGAAATATATCGGACACTCCTGGTCAACGCATGAAAGAATTAGTTAATTTAGATGCATTTAAAAATTCAATTTCAAATATTTGTCAATTATGGTTAGGTGGTATTCCAGCACCACCTCGTCGCTATGAACAATGGCGATCAAAAATTGTTCAACAAGAAAAAATATCATTTAAAGAAACAACACCTCCAATAAGCTCACCAGTAGCTCCTATAACAACAACAACAACAGCAGCACCATCAGCACCACATGCTTCATTAGCAATGCCATCAACTTCACATAGTTCAGTAATAGACGGTGCAAAAACTTCAGGAAGTGAAAGTGCTGGTTCAAGTTCTTATCATGTATCATTCAAACTAAATAAACGTAAAGAACCACATGAACTTTTGGATGAAATGTACAAACATACATATGATCCATTACCAGAGTAAGAAGAATTTATATACATACAGTAATAGACAAAAGTCTCCCGTCCTCGTATCACGGCTACTATACATGTGAGAGATCTGAAAATTTGTGTGTACATACTGTACTAAGAATTTAATTCAGAAGCACAAGATCATTTCGATTGTTTAAATACAACGAGAGATATGATGAAGAATGCTACCTGTGTTTGCTTTAAGCTTTTAGTCTGATAAGGGTTGCCTACTAAATTTTTCGTTACCTGTTATCAAGTGCGTGATTAATTCTTGATATTTTAGCATACAAGTAGAATCCAGTCTATATGATTTATTTAGCTAAAAGATCAAGTACTCTAGTCGAAGATTGCTGTCTCTGGCGAGGAAAGTCTTCCACCTGTTCAATCACTTTTAAATCAAGACTATACGCTTCATGTAGATCCAAATAAGTTAAGAAATGCCCTGAAAAGAGTTCGTGTCCCTAGTTTATTGCTACGTACATACTGTAATTTTACGGTATTTTTTTAATAAATGCCGTGATAACTGAAAAACTGATTTTCAAATTTCGACTTGAAACTTTGCATAGAAACAGACCTTAACTTAACGAGAATAGGTATTTTTTGTGAATGTTTCAGATCTTGTCACTGTTTCTATCTTAAGATACAGCTATGACAATAGTGTATCTTTGATATCACACAAATAAACCAGCAGAACTGATGTTTTTACTTCAGGATAGAAGCAAATCAAAAGATCTGAAAGTGCTCTCGTTAAGATCTGTTGCTATGCAAAGTTTCAAGTCGCAATTCGAAAATCAGTTTTTCTGTTACCACGACATTTATTTAGAAAAAATACCATAAAAGTGCAATATGTTTGCAGCAATCAACAGAGGACAAGAAAAGCTTTTCAGGATATTCATAGCTCATTTTGATCTACATAATACACATAGTCTCGACTTAAAAGCGATCGAACAGTTGAAGAGCTTCCTACGTCAGATATGACTTCTTAATGGAGTGTATGCGTATAAACTTTCCCACTTATAGCATAGATGGTAGTCGAGATATGGGCGGTGGAAGACTTTTGTCTACTACTGTATATTTATTTAAATATACATTCATTATTTGATTAAATTTTAAAGAAAAAAAAAACAAAAATCGTATTTAGATAATCAACAAAAACATTCAGGTTTGATGAAACCTTTTCATTACTCTTGTTTTACATTATATTTAAGCAATTCTTTGCATGTTCGCATGATTTGCATGCTCTATAAGCTTTCTCTAAATAAAAATTTTGTCAGATTCTAATGTAATGTTCTTCTGTTTTTTTTTTCTTTTATAGTCGACGTGTTCTTTACGAAGATTATCGTTTTGATTTAAATGGTAATTCACCATTAACAGAAAAATTCTTACGTTCAAGTCAAATGTTAAAAAATACTGGTACACAACTTTATATATCACATCCACAAATTATTCAAGTACCATCAGTAAGTGCTGAAACATATGATAATGAAATAAAACGAGCTGCAAAAATTTGTCGAATTATACGAGCTCAAAAGCATAAGTTAGTTAGATATTTTTTTTTTTTCTATAATTAATCATTTGATTACTAATCGGTTTTTTTCTTAAATAGAGAACGAACTGAACAACAAGCACAACGTTATCGGCAAGCAGCAAGACAACGTGCAGCTACATCAAAAACACGAGATGAGCTTGAAAAACAAGCGAAAAAAGGTTTCATTTATAGACTACCGATCAAGGTAATGAATTTTTACTTTCTCTACTATTAAGGAAAAAGAAGTACTTGAATTTAATAAAAGTGTCAATTTCCGATTTTTTTTCAATACGTCAAACTTGCTAATGTTTATCATCACAGAAACAAACTACGGAAGTTCTCGAAATACTCAGCTTTAAAATGTTTCTTTAATATACTTATAAAAGTATTAGATGAAACTTGAACATTAAATGCAAAATGAATTCTAAATTTGGAAAGTTCTTTAAATTTTCCTTCAAATAGTTATGATCTTGTTTGTTTACTTTTTCTTTTTTACATTTGAATGATTTCAGAAAATCATATAATGATAACAAAACATTGAAAATTTTCTTTGTTTAGAATCGTCGTAGTGATGATTTAATATCAATCTCTCAACTTTCCTTCAAATCTCATCAATGAATTCATCATCTTAATTGAACTTGATTTCATATAACATAGCAATCGTTCTCTTATAGTTCCTTTTATTAATTTATATATTTTTGAATTTGTATAACTTCCATTAAATTATATAATTAATAATTAACAGAAAAATCAATCGAATAATCAAACTATTTAATTTGAATCTTTTTATGTTTAAAAAAAAAAGGAAACGTAAGTTGAATCGAATTGAGATTTTTCTAGTCATTTCGAACTTTGACATACATAGTAAACATTTGAAACTATGATAATAGGCATGTGATTCTATCCAATACAAATATGATAATTTCAAAATTAATTCTCTTAGTTGGAAAAGAATTTTTGTATCAAAAGTTCTCATGCAAAATTTATAAATCATGTAAAAAAATTAAAGCAACCCATATAGTTTTTTTTTTTGTCTTATGATTATTCAGTTTTAATTTAAGATATTGTACAACTTGTCTTGCGTGTTGAAGAATTTTGTTGTTTATTTCGTCCTAAAAAAGTTAATTTAACTTTTTTTTCATCTAAATAATCAAACCATGAATCAATTGAACCCAATAAAATTTTAACAACATAATCACCATAACTAAATGGAAAATGTTTACCTTGTACATTTAATATTTCTATTCGTTCACTTTGATAATCATCAAGAACATCAACATAAGGAATATTTTTATCAAAATTATTTAAACTAGCCATTATTTGAACATCATTTGTACAAGCAATAAATGTTACATACATTCGATCAATAGATGGATATCTTTCATAAAGTAAAACTTTTTCTAAACTATTAAGATCATTTTGTCCATTGTCATCTGTTGGTAAACCATCTGTTGCAATTAAAATTAATAGTTTACGATCATTTACATGTGAACGTTTTAAATTTAATACATAATTAAGTACATGTGTCATTGGTGTTGGACCAGTAGGTAAATGAGAAAATGTTTCATGAAGTTGTGATGAATCAATAACATGTAAAAGTGGTTGTCGATTAAGAAAATAAATATCAATACCATCTGGATCTAATGTAGCAGCTAAATCAACAATAATAGATACAATATGTTTAAGTTCATCCCAACGTGTTGGTAATTGATTAAATGATGATATATATTCATGATCATAATTAATAATTGGTGTACGCATTGATGAACTATCATCAATTATCATAACAATTTCAAAACCTTCAAGTGCTCGAAGACGAAATGCAAAATCATAATTAATATTATATTTATGAATAATATCTTCAAATTTTTTTAAACGAAATTCATTTTGATATATTGAATAATCCATTATTTTTGATAATCAATATGATAAATGTTATTTATTTCATGTTGATTGTAACTATGACATATTTTTACGCATATATACAATCAAAATTCATATAGGAAGAAGAAAAAAAAAACAATGATACACACATAGCTTAACAAAATAAAGATTACGATTTTATGACGTTATTTACTACAATGATTTTAGTCTTAGTTATAAGGATTATATGGGAAAAAAATCAAGGGACATGCACAAAATTCGATTACACTATTGGGATGTCATAAAAACTTTTCTTTTTCTTAGCTTTTTGTCTTAGGCGAGCTTAAGAGAAAATTATATATTGCTGGTCTAATACCCATTGAATTACTAGGGAAGTGATTAAATATTGATAAATTTTTTTGTTTTAAATATGACTAATACTTAATTTCTTATTTATCTTAGTTAATTCAAATCTATATACAGACAATCGTTCGATAAATACAACAGCCTAAATAGATGTTATCTGTTGATTGCCCTTTAATGTTTGTGAATGTCAAATTATTTCGTTGATTTTTGATACATGAGACTAAAATAGCATTACTACGAATGAATAAATTCAATAACATTCTTATAAAAACTATCGATTCATACGAATATTTAATTGAATATTGTCTCTTAAATAAATAATAACTATTAGTTTACTTTATAATAAAAGATTAATAAACATCTATGAGTATAGTATGACACAATTAATTTTGAATTTTTCGTTAATTTAATCAACTGCGATCTTTTTTTTTGTCTATTTGCTTGTACATACGTTTTAGAAGCATGAATTGGAATTTGGAGAAAGAAACTAAGTTATTAAAAGAAAGGAATAGAATACAGCAGAGATAGACGAAGCTTTCCAGTGCACGCCTATGCAATATGCTGCAAATCTTCATGAAGCTCATGTTGTGCTATCTCATGATTCTATTTGTGCTGGAATAACACCGAAGTAACAATTTCGCACTGCTGAATCGTACTCAACGAGTAAGAAAATAAAAAGATGTACAAAGCGTGCAAGCGTGAGCAAGAGCGCAGAACAGCTTCGTCTATCTTTAAAACACATCTATGACATTAAACAACTGAAGTAACGACCAATTACGACTTCTATCTTTTGACTTGCTTTCCATCCTTTTTCTTCCTTGTCTTATCCATTATTCTCGGCGAAGTACGACAGGATTTCTTGAAAATTATGGCTATTGTAAACAATCATATATGATTTTCTCTTAATTCTCTTTCTGTAAATACAAAAATTTATAAGTTATATTTTGTAAAAAAAATATTAACCATTGCAGCGATTGCTAAGAGTAATTGAAATAAAAAGAGTGTAGTTTATTTTTTTAAATTAATACTTTTTTTAATTCGGAGCTAAGTTTGAAATATACAACTGATTCACTCTCACATAGATTCTCCTGAAAGTCCTGGGAGACTTCCTGTGATGGTTTTTGTCTTTATTCGTACATCCTTGCAAATCAAATAGTTCTATAGATTTCTTGTAGAGTTACTCGGAACTCCAGAAGAATTCATCTGTAATTTCACATTTTTCAGAGGACTCATCGATGATTCTACAAGTGAAAGCTGACTATCGTAAAGTTATTCTCGATGATTTTTTATGTCGATCTCGGTAAATACTTATATTTTTCCTGTTATCTAGATAGTATTACATAGTTTTTTTTTCAAAAAACTCCTAGAATTTCGACTTTTTGATCGCTTCGTCTCAAGATAATCATTCAAGAATGCATGTATTCAAGTTCTTGCTGATCAGTTAATCGTTTATATGACTCTTTTTGTTTCATATTTTCTTAAGAATATCTTTGTATAATACATTTGATTTTCAGTACATATGATAGGATTTCTGACACTACCACATATTAATCGGTACTCCATTGTTATCTTGTCTTTCTTTTTCAAATTACTATAAACAAACAAGCATTCGTATGAATAGTTCTGTATGAACACAAAACAAGAAGAAACGTATGATTGTAAGATCACCAATGTACAACTATTTCATGAAACATAGATAGGATTGATTCAATTTGATAAGAAAAAAAAACCAACATTATGACTTGGAAACATTCTATCTAATAAGACAATCAAATTCATTCAACTTTATTGATAAATATCAGTTGCTAATAAAATTCAAAATAAGCAAAATAATCAAATTATTTGAGAAAAAAAATCTAATTTTTCAGTTGTTTAACGGAATTCATCTATGAAATCTTCAATTTTGTTTTTATTTTAAGATTACATTTCTAATGATTAAAGTTTTTTTTACAGAAGCCAAACAGAAATCTAGTGACGGGAAATGCAAGAATCGGCACTCCCATCTTGAAAAAATGCTCTTTTTGTTCAAAAAGAAAACAAAAAGATCGTAGAATGAAAAAATTTCTCTTGTACCTTCCATGCTCACTTCCTTTTTTTTTTTGTATTTGCTCCATCCCTGAAGTCAAGAGTACTTTTCTAGGTTATGAAATAAAAATAAAAAAACTGAAATATCGTAGTTCATGAATAAATAATCAACAGAGCGAATAATTCATCTTGGTATTTTTTGTCTTTATTGCTGCTGAGAAGCAATTAATTGTTGATTAACTTGAGTTAATTTTGGACTATCAATATATGATTCACAAGCATAACAATAGAATGAAAGATCCGTTAGACTCAAACATATATTATGTCCAGTACTTTGATGATGTGCCAACATATGTTTTTGTTGATAACGCGAACATCCAATCTGAGATTACAAAATTTTTTTTGTGTTTTTTTTATTATTTATATAATAACTCACATGTTTACAATTTTCTTCTAAACAAGCCCAATTCTCTTGTGTTTCACCACAATCAGTACAAGCTGGTTGTCGACCATGAACACGATGTGCTGATTGTGGTAATGTATACGTATGAGCAGCTAAATGAGGACAATCTGTTTTTGGTACAACAGCAAATGGCTAAAAATATGATGAATCAAACAAAAAAATAACATTCAACAAAGTATTCGTGTTTTTTTTTCTTCACTTACACCAATCAAATGTTCATCGAATGTGTCACCAGTTGTTGTAGGATTTACTGGCATCGTTTGTTTCAATTATTTCGATGATAGATTTATAATATCTTAAAAAATATTTCAAACCATTGACTTTTATAATATTAATATTACTCCACCAGAATGAAAAGTTGGAAAGAAAAAAACACCAAGTATGGCTTAGTCATAGACTATTTTTCTTTTTCTTTTTATTGTTTTGCAATAGACAAACACAGAAAAGAAAGAAACATGTATGTTCTTTTCAACAGAAAACAAGTAATTAATACCAAAAACCAAAAAAAAAAAAAAAGAAAAATAAACAAGCATACTTATAGAATTGATTATAATATGTTAATGTGTTATACTTGACTAATTTCTAGGTTGGTTCAATAAAGTTTTTTATTTGTCGGAAAATAACACAGTTGAGCAAATAGCAAAACAATAATACCAATCAATTAATGACTTGAAATATTTTATTTACAGTTATTCGTCATATAATCTAATTCATTGAATCACCTAGAATATAAAATAGAAAAAAGAAAATTTTCATATTAAAAAAAAAACAATGTTTTATCTAAATTTTTCTCTTCCGGAAGAGCTAATCGGATCTTCGAAGGAGCATCGCTTTCAATACTGAATAAAATACTGAGTAACCAAAAAAAAAGAAAAACATCTCATACTTCTTGATCGACTATAACGATTATATTTGGATTTGGATTTTGATGGTGAACGAGATGAACGACGAGTAATATCATCAGTTTTTTTTCGTCGATTACTCAATGATGAATAACGAGGTGAATCAAAATAAATTTCAACATAACGACTACCTATTTATATAAGAAAAATATTTTATTTTTATGGTTTTTTTTTTCCAAAAACAAATTTCTTATTTTTTATACCCATATATTTTCGATCATATTTCAATGCTTCATTGACTTCATCAAGAGTATTAAAATAAAGATGAGCATCTCCATTTGGTCGTTTCAAACGTCGATCTTGTAAAATTTCAATACGACTTGGTTGACAAGATTCAGGAAAGAACTATTGAAGAATTCGGTTTTTTTGTTTTTATTTGTTTAAATATTAGATTAGATTATACCTTTCGAACATCATCTTCAACAACAGTATACGGCATACCACGTATTTTAACCAGATGTTCTTCATTTCGAGATGATGAACGTCGTACTAAACTTCTACTACGACTCCGACGACGATTATTATATGATCCTATTTGAGTAAAAAAGAGTTTCGAAATAATCTTATACAAATTTATTCATTTAAGAGATCTAAATTCATGAATATTACAACTTACGTTGATTTATACTTTTTGAAGCTGAAATAAAGCAACATTTTTTTGTTTTGAATTATTTAGTATAAAATCTTTTATTTTTATTTTTTTACTTACGATATGTTCGTGGCGGAGGAGAAACGGATGGTGAATGACGACGTTTCAATTCTCGTTGACGATAATCTATCATAAAATTATATTGAAAAAGAAATCAAATAAACTAATATTGTACACAAATAATTACCTTGACTTAATGATTGTGATCGTTGTCGACTTCGGCTTCGATAACTTCGTTTATTAGTGTTGTTGTTGTTATTATTATTATTATTATTATTATTATTATTTTTATTATTATTATTTTTATTATCGTCATCGTCCTCTTCACCTACAAATAGTCTTGCATTTGAACGAGCATCATTCATAATTCTTCTTTTTGCTTCATCATATGTCGATGGAAATAATTCAATATACCTATATGGGAAAAAAAGAAAATAAAAATAAACCAATACTAAATATCACCTGTAGATTAAACATGAAATCTATCAAGAAACATTTTTACACATATAAAAATACAGAAGTTCAAAACACATATATGAAAGCACACATATTATAATAGATATGTATTTTGTTATTTCTACCTGTCATAAATCTGGCAACACCATTGATCAGTACACCTCACCTCTCACACTTAACCCTCCCTGTATTTTTTTTTTCTTTCATTTCATTTTATACTCCATTAATTCAATATGCTGATGCGGTCGCTCCTAATTCTTTTGTATTTTTTATTCGAAAGACCATGTGCCAACCAAACCTGTGCTGAATATGTTTATGATCATGCATATCAATTGCTTTATAAGCATTATCCATATTGACAAAAGCCACAAATCCATCACCCAATGCTTTATCAGCCATATCTCGTGTTATATAAATACCATTTTTTGCTATTTCAATATCTAAATACATTTCAAATAAGAATTTTAAAAAAAACCATCAATTAATTCGAATAAAAATTTCATTCTGTATTTTTTTTTTCTCTTCAAATATATACTTTCAAAAAAATTTTGTACATCAGCCATTGTACAAGCAAATGGAAGACCACTCATTCGTATAACAGGTTCACGCCATGAAACCATACCTTTATGTTTAACATGAAAATTATATTCATAAATAGTCGCTCGAAAGACTAAACAATAAGGAAAAATAAAAATATTGAGTTAAAATTTTTCTTTTTTTTAAATAATTTACCTTCAATGTGTTTTTTATCTAAATATTGACCTGTTTTTTTTAATGCATTTTTAACATCTATTTCAGATTCAAGTTCAACAAAACGGTCACTTGATGAAGTACCATTATTATCGAATAAATGAATAGCAACAATATGACATGCTATTAATAGAAAACAAAAAAAAAAAATAATAATTTTAAAAGTTTTAATTAAAAATAAGAATTGAATTTTTTCAATTTACGATAAAGAAATTTTTTAATATCATCTTTATTTGATGAATGTGAAATACCATGAAGTTTAACTAAATAATCATGATGACGTGATGATTTACTATTATTTCGATCATCAGATTCATCTCGTTCTTGACTCATTGTTTTTTCGATCTTATTGAATAAAACAAATAAAAATCGATGTCAACAAATGAAAAAATCTAAAGATTTTCACATAAAAAAAAAGAGAAGAAGATCTTTATATAACTAAATTTTTAGAGTTTTATTTTAATACAGAAAACTAATGACTTTGTCTAGTAACATTTCAAATCTAAATTTGTAATATGTATGCATATATTTAAGATATAAATTGGTGTTTAATACTAAAAAGCAACTTGAGAAGGTCGTAGAACAGAATCAATCAAGTAACAAGGATATGGTCATTTGTGTCTATCCTCTCTAAATAGTAACGATAAAATCAATCCAATCATAATAGAGCGCCACTGTTCATTACCTAGCGACTTCTTTTTTTCGAGTAGATTTTTTTTCAAGCAATATGTTGAAAGACATTATCAGTTTTTCATATCTTATAACTAAAAGTAAACGAAAGAGAAGCTAATGATAACAATTATCGATGCTTGTTTATCTATTTGAAAATCATCTACGAGATTAAATTTCCATTCAGATAATATTTATGATTGAGAATTATAGAAAAATGAAAACCATTGTTATCGTTTAAATAGTATATTTTCTCTGAAAATATTATATTAAAATTATATAAAAAAACTTCACACAGATTTACAAAATAAAATCAGTTTAGAATATTGAATGTTACTTGTCTATTTTTTGAATCTGCATAGTACTGCTTTCTAACAACACTGATATTCCATTAAACGTTATACATTAATAAAATCGAAAGACAAAACTTGACAGTAATATTTGCTTATTTCATCTGTATAAAAAAACTTTAAATACACTTCTACCACTAACCAAAAAGTCAGTCCATCCGAACGAACTTACAAGAAGGTATTCAATTCTTTATTGCAGTACTATTTATGGTCTACCGTGTATGTCGAATGTAATATTCTAAGTTTAGAGAAGATCTTATATGTTTATTTTTACACCATTTGGTTCGGTAACTGTGATCATTATCTTGTTGAATGTTCAAAGAACTATTGACATCATTTCTTGTTATAGTGAAAGAAATTTTATATAGTAAAGTTTTTGGCAGTATTCTCAATAAAAATTAGTATATATGGATATTCTTTGTTGTTGATTTTTTTTTACTTTAAAACTTGACAAACATAATTGATAAAAAGAAATAATTACAAAATAACTCGAATAACAAATGAGCAAGTTGCGCACACATACATTACAAATGAGATTGTTTTTTTTTTTAGTTTCTCTGACAAATTTTTCTCAATATGAATTCATATGAGCATTGCACCGAGATAGAAAAAGATGGACATTGCATTGAAAAAGAAACCGGTTAAAAATGTTTTTATTTTTGTTTGTTTGTTTGTTTGTTTTTCGTGGAATGATCATGTGAAGATATTAAAATGTGTACATAAACAAATTATGGCGAGAGACCTTCATAAGTTTCACGATGAACATCAGGTAAAGAATTAAAAATTTGTGGTTCATGTCGTTTAATATATTGTACAGCATTCAAATGAATTTGATTTACTTCTTGAATTGATGGTATTAATTGAAGAATATCAAGAAACATATTTGGTTCATCTATAAATATTTATTACAAAAAGAAAAAAAAAACTAAATAAATTTACTTGGATGATGACATCGCAAATGTCGATATAAAACTTGCATTAATTTTGCTTCAATTTGACCAACAGTTTGTTTATCGCATAGATCTGGTCGTTCTAAAATTAAAAAAAAACATATTTAAGTAATAAACTAATAAACTCCTCAAAAAAAAAGACACTCGATTTATCTAAACCTGGATTCATTAATAAAAGTGCATTAAATAATGCAATATCACCATCAGTCCATCGAAGATGACTTGCTTTCATTCCCAAATCAAATATTTCTAACATAATAACACCTAAAGTTTTTATTGTTTTTATAAAATCTCTATCCATATAAGCTGAGAAATCTGGTGTCAGCATTAATTTTTGTTCAGCATCAAATAATGTAAACCAACTAACAAGAATAGTTTCAAATGCTCCTTAAAAAAACAAAAAAAAAAAAGAATCAATATATATGTTCAGAATGTTCTAAAAATCACTCGTGAAATAAAACGATAATAACTCATCAAAGGGATTCATATGAGTTTTTCATAGGATATTCTCACAAGTCTTATTTCGTATGA